ACACACACACACACACACACACACACACACACACACACACACACACAGACAGACAGACAGTGAGAGAGGGGGAGCACAGGGAGAGGAAATCATACTGCAGCGTTCACAAGAAATTTCTGACCACAGTGGAAAATAAGAGGATTTTTTTTTTAATCCAGCCTTTATTTGTCTGCGATGAATTTACTTTAACCTGGTATTTAGAGGGATTTTCCACAGCACATTTGTAACTCTGGTCACAGCAGACTCTTGCCTGTAAAGTAGAGCAATAATCCTCTTAAGTCCAATAATTAACTGTTAGAAAGCATTTTGACATCAAACAATATACAAATGGAGCCAAACATTTTGCCCAAGACAGCTTCAACATTATTTTAAGGGTTCTGTTTTATCATAAAATTGAGTTCTCTGTTTAGTCACGCCTAATCAACTATGTAATTATTTGTTTCGAAAGATTTAGGGGAGCAAATAAACTCATTATATTACTACATAGGGTTGTTACTGGAAACCTCGTAAACTAATCAATTTCCGTGCCATTCCTACCTTCACTCTGTGACTCTTGCTCAACTAGTTGCAACACTCCTAAAGCTTTAAACACTTTCGCTACTGAACAGCACCTCAAAATGTGAAAGGATGTTGAAAGAGAAGAGTAATATCAAAGGCTTGTCAGTTCTTTGTGTCTATTTCTGTCAAAAAGGGAGAAATAAAGTAAAGTGTACTGACATAGTATAACTTTTCTTCATCTGTCTGCTCACTACTGACCTTTTGACCTAACTCAGAGGAGGAACACAAACTTCTGTAAGACTGCGAGACATTACCTGGTTTCATTCACAGGCTAATGTGGGCTGTAGTCAATGCGAAAACAACAACAGAGACTCTCATGTCATCGAGCTCCTGCTCCCCGAACTGACAGGAAGTACAACAGGAAGGCTTTCTCACATACGTCATGTGTCATAGCTGATGTTGTAAACAAGCATGTTTACTGGAAATTAAGGTAGCAGCGCTTAAACAGTCCTTTTTATCCTTAGCTCTCTAAATAAACTACGTTAGAACAACTCATATCACAACAAAAACTCCTGACTGCACCCAGTCTGATACATTATATGTCCAGTTTATGAGTACGAGCTGTTGCTACAGTCTTCCAGTATCTTTACAATAAACAAAAAAAACTCTGTACGTTAACTCCACCCTCCTTATCTGTTTCTGTTGTGAGTTTGTTTGTCATGTTATGACACAGATGGATTTACTTATGGCAACTCAGGAATGTTAAACGCAGCAGAACTTGCTGCTCAGCCTTTTTTGTTTCATTGATTTATTGTCGTTCCACATTTTAGCACCAAAGCCAAATCCCATTTAATTTACATGAACAGGTTGAGGAATACACTATTTTCTGAACAGAGATCATTTTTAGAGGCAGTGTAATGTTTTCTGCTTAATTACTTGAAAGTATTTGGGGTACAATCCAGATATCCATGATTCAGTCACTCTCATACTGGATATGCACACAAACAGAAGTCCTCCTTAACAGCAGGAAATAATCTCATCCAGAATTATACGATACTCAAAGCATTTCATTCATCAACGCATTTCATTCATTTTCCCAAACATGACTGCACAAAGGTTCATTATAGATTTATTATTTCTGCAACACGAGACAGACTGAACAGACGTTTGCAGGTTGTGTGGTTGTTTTTCGGATGAACTTGCAATCTGTAATTCCCTAACTATTGGATTTGGGAATGTCCAAAACTGCCAAGTGCCCAAACCCTCGGCTTACAAGCATACAGGGGACATCATACCAAAGATATGTGCAGCTGATAAATGTGCACACCCAAACAAGGGGGCACGTACACACAAAACAATGTCATGAATAAAAAACTTAAAAACAACTTCATTGTCTTCAACCAAACCACATTCTCACCCTCCTTGTAACCCTAACCTCCGACACAATTTTTTCCTGGAGGGAAAAACATCTAGTTACATTGTTGAAAACATATGGCTCCCCTAAGTGGAAGCACAGCTCACACATACCCTGCATTCACATAAGCACAGACACCCTTACTGTAACACAAATCCCCAGAGGGTGGGGCCTCCGCTTGCATAGCTTGATCCCCAACACACATTGAACCCCCCACCACATTTAGCAAAAAATGTGAGCTTGAGCGTGAGCGAGGAAAAGAGGGGGCAGAGGGTACAGCTGTCGCTGAACAGTGCCATTAAAGCCTCAGAAAGGACCTGCGGACTTCATGAGCTCAGGGCAAAACCAAAAAAACTGGTTGGTGAGGGGAATCCAGTGATGACGAAGAGCAGGAAAATGTGATGGTGTGAGAGTTCAGATGGTGCTGGAAACTTTCATCAGAGGATTTGTGAGGTTGAGAAGGAAGGGAGGACGTACATAAAAGATAACCACACCAACCCTCTCTCTGTTCACTCAATCATCAGCCGCTACGAGAGGTAAGTTCTGCAAAACGGCATGCTGTCTTGGTAAACAGAGTGCTGATCGCTTTATACTTGGGACATACTTGTCAAGGATAATGATGCAGGGAGATGAAATTAATCTGAACCTAAATAAGATAAGGATAACAATCAATAAGCTATAACAGCAATACGTTTGTGTGTAATTGTATCTTAAAATTACAATCTTCTGTGCATAATTCAACCCTTGATTTCGCAAAATGATGTTTGTATTTATGTGTAAACTACAATACTGCCTATAGGTTTGCACTGAATTAAGTGAATTTTGTTATATGAAAATGTGCTTTAGGTTGGATAACTTGAGTCCTAACACCATGTTAGAAAAAGTGGTAATCAAAAACCTTATATGTCAAAGATGAATTAACTTGATTGGCTGGACTGCTGGTCTCTCGAAATATAGTTCCACGCTTTGCTAGAAGTGCTGATCCTTCAGCTATTTCAAGGGGTAAAAAAACAAACCCAAAAGCAATTAATGGTGAACTGGAAATGCTTTAGCCATTACACTGTACAGCAGAGCTCTCCATGCTGTGCCAGTCAGGAGCAGACAGTGGGTTTGGTTCGATGTTGCATTATCAGAGAGGAAACGTGGTTTAGCTGTCAGGTTCTGCTGATTTTGTTTCTAGAAGCAGTGATGCTGGAATGTGTCATGTGTCTGAAAGCTACTAAAAGCTGCTTAAATCCATTGTTCCAAACTGTTTTTTTTAAGTAGTAATTTTTTCCGCACATTCAAGGGAAGGGGAACTGTATATAGATGACATTACACAATGGACATCTGACTTTCTGGTAATTGCGTAATCAAGTACACATACTTGACTTAAATGTGACCTTTGACTTCCTGCATTCACAGAAGTAAAGACAAGGGAATTAGAGATAGTGATGAGACTAGTGGTAGTTGCCCCCGAAAAACAACTAATTATTAAAAGTAAGGAAGGAGTACTGTTAAAGTAGGAGTAGCGGTTGGATGGGGAATACAGAAAAAACATATTCAAAAATAGTTTAACTAACAATGAAAACATAATTTTCCATCTCACAGCAGGGACCCAGCACCCCACCTCTTGAATGAAAGCAGATAAGTAAAAATATATTGGAAATGGAAACAGCTTTGATGCACAATTTTATGACCCTCTATCTTTGGTGTGAAAAAAAAACAAAAAAAGAAAAGAATTCTGGTTCTTCCGGCGCAATTGAAGGACATTCTGGTCTCTTTAGAAAGTTACTTCCTCAAAAAGACTCTCTCTGCACCCTGATACGTCTCAGCCACTGAGCAACAACTCATGCTTGCCAACCTTAAGTTGCAGAACTTTAAATGGATTTGTATGGAGAAGCAGGTCTTTGTATTGGCACAGCTTTGCCGTTGGAGCCTCCTGAGCCATAACAAACAGGAAGAACAGCCTCCGCCACAGCCTCAAACATGTGCAGGCAGTCCGTCATGTTTAGATGCACTGTAGACACAACACAGAGATAATTGCAAACCAAACACTGTGTCCATATTCAATGAGAATATACTCTGTGGTTTGGGGATTTATTTCAAAAACATTCTGTAGCAAACTTTACATGTGAGCTCCAAACACACTGATGAACGCAGTTCCTGAATAAATGGTTTTAATGCCAAAAGATTGCTAAGCAAGCTTGTTTACCAGCCAACCCTGTTGGCAATGTTGATGAAGCCACAGGCAACAAAGTACAACTCTGAATCAGATTATGCAAATGTATAATTTTAAGTTTAAACAGGAATGCTGATGCTGCATGTAGGCACTGTTACTAATTAGAGTTGCCTTCAGTATAACTGCCTTATTATGGTGATGATTTAAAATGCAGAATATCTCCTTTGTGGCTGTTCTGTCGTTGAGAGGAGAAAAAACATACTGTTTCTTCTTTTACTGTCCTGGAAACTAACAACTAAGGTACATCAAGTCTTAAAAAGTAGTGCGGTGAGAACAACAAATGCAAAAATGCTCCCCGAGGCTTAGGCTTAAGTTTAGAGTAGAGCAGTTCATGACCAAGAATAGACCCTATTATCGTTAAACACAACCAACAACTTGAAATTTTAATTACTTTTCAGAGCTGAAAACATTTATGTTTTGTAGTAAATTTCAGTGCTTTATCTCTATTGTTTTGTGGTATACAAGCATTTTTGTTGAGTCCTACAATCAGTCAGCTGTTAGACAAAGATACTGGCATGCACATGTGCAAAGCTCAGCACTTGAATATTACACTTACATGATGTTGGGGGACTTACAAAAGGCGGATTTGTAAAAAGAATGAAAGCAGCAGAGGCCAGCATAACCTGACTTTTAGTCGCTAGTTTGGGTCAAGCTCGAAAGACACTTCCCCTTAATTTGACAGCCAGTATCTTCTGCAACGCCCTTCCGGTGTTCTTTAAAAAAATGTGAAGTAATGCCATTTGAGTATCTTTCTTAGACTTGACTCCGGTCCTCCAGAGCTACAGAGGAAATTGAAAAACTTTCACAGGAGTGAAATGCTCACAGTGACGAGTTAACCGATTTTGTCTGGTAAAATTTGTGACGTGCACCTTAGAGTACAAAATAAGGCGTATTTAGTTTGTGATGACCATGATACGTTTACAAAGTCCTTTGCCATCCATGTAAATGTGATTCATCATGACCAACCTTGACTGTAACATAACCGTTTCTTTTGTTCTAGGTTAAATAATGGACCTGCCCCTGACACTTCATGTGCTCCTACTTCTCTGTTCGATCAATGCTGTTGTTTGGGCGTGTCCGGATGACTGCAAATGTCAAGAAACCAAAATCCTCTGCAGTGGCCTCTCAGATTTCCCCACATCTGTGCCCTCATCTACCACATTCCTCTACTTCTCCAATTGCACTATCTATTTCTTGAAACCAGAACACTTAAATGATTTTTCTAACGCCCTTAGCGTCCTTGTGATTAAAGACACTGTTTTGAGGGAAGTGCACACTGGCACATTTAATTCCACTCCGAACATAAGTGCCATCGGGTTTATTACCACCGAACTGCAAGATCTTCCTGAGGCCGTGTTCCAAAATCTACAGAAACTTAAGACTTTGAATCTAAATGGCAACAAGCTCCTCGTACTCCGACCTCACTGGTTTTCCCGGTTGGCAGAGCTGAAAAACCTTGACCTCAGTAAGAATCTTTTCAATTCCGTACCTGTGGAAACTTTTCACCCTCTTACTGAGCTGGAATACCTTTTTCTTTCGGGAAACAATATCAGTCAACTACCTAGAGAGACATTCAATGGGCTATCTAAGCTGAAAGTCTTACGGGTTAATAAGAATTTGCTACACGAACTCCCCCTTGGCAGTTTGGATGACCTTGGCAACCTGGAGGAACTATCCCTACATGACAATCTTATCACTCATCTCCACCATGACCTGTTCTCCAAGACTTTGAAACTCCAGAAGCTGTTCCTCTCCAACAATAGGCTCACATCTCTTCCACAAGGGATCTTCTTAAACCTGCCCCTTCTTTCCCAGATCTCCCTGTATGAAAACCAGCTGAAGAGTCTGGGACCAGGAGTGTTTGGGCCCATGGCGCTGCAAGAGTTGTGGCTGTATGACAACAAGCTGAGCCGTGTGGAGGATGACACATTCAGGAACCTGACTCAGTTGCGTCTCCTGGTGCTCAGTCGCAACCAGATCAGCTCTGTATCCACAAGGGCCTTTGCAGGGTTGGAGCAGCTGGGAGAGATATCACTTCACACCAATCTGCTCACAACCCTGCAACCTGGGGTTTTCCAAGGTTTGCCAAGTCTGGTCAACATTTCCCTAGAGCACAACGCCATCAGCTCCCTACCACCGGGTTTTCTACAAGGCCTGATCAACCTGGGACAGATAGACCTGCAAAATAACTCCCTTCCCAACCTGCCACAGAAGAGTCTAGATGCCCTCACTGTAGCAAAGGAGGTTCTCTTGCAGCAGAACCCCTGGAGGTGTGACAAGGATATTCTGCCACTCAGAGAATGGCTGAGAAAGCACCCATTCAAGGTCAACCAAACTCTTGTAGTGTGTGAAACACCTTTCAGTCTGAATGGTGAGACCATTGTTTTGCTGGCAGATGAGAACTTCCTGCCTCTCAACTCTACAGAGGAGCCTGTGTTGACCTCGACTGAGTTGAAGAGGAAACCCCACACTCCTCCAACTAGACAAAGCACTTCCTCACCTGCGGTCAAGACCACCCCCACATCAGAGCACGAAGAGGTCACCAGTGGAGGCCAAGGAGAGACGGGAACAACTTCTAATGATATTTCGATCATCCTCATCCTCATTGCTGTAGTGGCCACTGTCATCATCAGCACTGTCATCATCAGCTGTGTGTGTTGGAGGAGGAACAAGAGAGGCAGCGGAAATATAGGCCGCAGTAATAAGAACTCTGTGCTGTAGCTTAGACCACCCAATGTTAGCAACCCAAAAACTTTTAAAGCCAAGGGAAAGTACTCACTGATTACTGTGGTTTACTTGGAAAATGTGACGCTCCTAGAGTCTCAAAGGCAACAGAAAGAACCACTTCGGCTCCATTCAGATGTAACAGCTAGAACAAACAAGTCAACTTTTGAATTCATTAGCTTTCCATTTTTAATGATCAAATGTACCAGCCAGCATCCCTCTTCATGTGTGCTGTAAAAATAGAACAGACATTGCATGTACTAATGGTAAAAACAGTTATGGTGCCATCTTGTGGGCAACCTGGATATTTTGGTGAATGTGAGCTCCGATGCACTGAAAAAGTGTACTTCTTACAGTAGAATTAAAACTGCATGCAGTATTAGTATTCCATTTTTCAGAATTAGTAATTGCAGTTTGACTATGTGTGTTTGTGCTAACAACAATACATTGAGGAGACAGTTTTACTATCCAAATGGCTATCCATGAAAAATCAAAACATGTCATTTTGACTCCACTGTAATACAATTCATCTAATGGTTTTGACACTTACAATGCAAAATGCTACTATACATTGAATAAATGCACTACTTTTAGTGAAAACAATCTCACCTTGTGTTAATCATTTACTGAACTAAGCAAGTTTGACCTCCTGAATCTGATGGCAAATCAACTGTTATCTACACATTATTCAGGAGTGAAAAGGAGCATAGAATTCCCCTTAAATGCTTAAATGAGGGTTAAGTTATTTGAATAGGAAGTAGTATTATGCTGGCATACTGTATACATTGCATGAAAATGAAGAAACACATTAACACATCTAAAAGTATTGAGATTATGTTTTTACACAGTATGCTGTGGTCTACTTTTTGCAGTACGATGGTCTTATTGTGATCACTACATTGTCATTAGACAGATATTTAATCATTTACTGGCTTTGTTGATTGTACCAAGTTAGTTTGTCAGATGTCCAGAAGAACACAAGGAAGTTTAGACTGAGTAGTAATTCTGCATTCACAGAATTCTGTATTTTTTTTGTAATGGAGTGATGGTGTACATTTATAACTACATTCACCTATCTTGCATATGTATATATTCCTCTCCATTAAATGAATCATATACAAAAGACTGCCATCTAATTCAAGGGAGTCAGAAACATTTAGATACAATCCAAACATTCCACCAGTCACTGTAATGTGTGTCTAATTGTTGCCTGACAATAACAATGTTTTAAGAAGGAATTCAAAATAAAACACAAACATCAAACTGGATATAAAGGCTTGTGAAATGGAGGTTTCTGCTTTTCCTGATGTGGAAACAGATGCATATGTTAAAAATGACTAAATGTTTGTATACCATAGAGTATGTTTAAAGGACAGTGTGTAAGTTTTTAGTGGGATCTAATGGTTTGTGACAGGTTGCAATCAACCAAATACCTCTCAGCTCAGCCCTTCCCTTTCCAAGTGTGTCAGAGAACTACGGTGGACTACAGGTAGGGAAAGGGTATCTTTACGATTTTAGTACAACTAGGGGCTACTCTTATCAATACTCAGCTCTTCTACATGACTAAATAATTGTTTTTAAAAAGATGTATAAGATTCAAAAAAACTTAAAGCAATTTATAATCTAGATATTGCTAAGTATTGTTTCTAGAGCAGCAACAGTTATGTTTTAAACAGCAAAGTCACTGGAAACAACTGTAAAATGGCAATGAAATAAATGATATTTCTGAGTGAAGTTTTTAAAGAATGAACAACACAGACATCCGTCAGTATCAGTCATTCCTCCTGTCTTCTGCCCTCCTGGCTGCTTTGTCTCAGCCAGCAGAGAAGTAAGCGTAAACATAGCGGTGGTGGCTGAATGAATTAGGTTTCACTTTCGTTTTAATGTTTACAGATGTATTGATAAAGTATTGGCTTTTCACCGGCAAATATTATATTGCACGTACAGTAACAAGCGTAGTTGCCATCAATTCGAGTATCCTCCACTTCACCACAGCGGCATGTCTGCGCGTGCTTTGTGTGTGTTTGTCTATGTGTGTGTGTCGTTAAAGGAGCTCAGCCCAACAGAGAGCAGAGCAGATGCACACTGCAGCATGATAATAAATTACATGATAACATTAAAAACTATTAATGAAAAGAACCAGTTACATTGGGGCTTATCAATACCACGGTCTTTGCTTATTTAGCACTAAGGCCCGTTTAATACTGGGTTTCAGAACACATCCCTACCTTCAGATAACGTAAAACGCAAAAGGCTCTCACTGGAGCCAGTGTCCGTTCTTGGCTGCAGTCGAAACATGGCGGTGCAAGATGGCGGACTCCTTGGAAAACGACCTGCTCCCTACGTAGATATAAATGGCTTTTTCTAGGCAAAGGAAAACACAACGATTCTTAGTTTTGGGCGATTGTACTCTGATTATATCATTGTTATGAATATTATATTCAATATTCAATAATACTGTCCCTTTAATGTTTAGAGTGTGTATGAATGTTGAATAATTTTATCTGTAGTTTACGCTGCTGTCCTAGGTGAATAACACATCAGATGGTAGGTACTGCACTAAAATCAGTGGTGAAAGATTAATCATACATCAATTCCAAAACTATTGGAGCTATGCTGCAGAGAAGGGAAGTAACTTGCTAAATTGCCATAAACCGTCCGTCCTTGCTCTTATCTTGAGCAGCAGAAGTGTGTTACACCACGCCTCATCTAGGAAGCTATACTCTCCAGTCCTGCTGGGCAACATCGATACAGGAGAGAACTAATGATATGTAGCTTGTTTGTGTCTCCTCACTGCTGTAACAACCCGTTTCATCCTGGGACAGAAAATAAAAAAGGTAAGGTTTTGGCATTTGACTGTGACAGCTCATTGAGTTATTGATAACATGGCATAGCAACGCTTTTTATGATGTTATTGATATTTGAGCACACATATGCTATTACAAGAAAGAGAAAATTAACACATCCAGGTAAATCTAATAAAAGTTGTTTCTTTTTCTTTCCTTTTTTTAGTGAACAAGCATGTCAAGAGGAGAAATCATTGTTCTTTTTCTGTCTTTACTGTTTGAGCTTTCATTGTCTCAACACAAACAATGTGAAAAAGAAACAGACTGCCCCGAAGAAAACCAGGATGTTTACAGTTCATCGACAACAGAAATCCCACGCTTTCTGGAACCAACTGTGACAGAAGTTTTCTTTGTGGATAGCCAGATTAAAACAATCCCTAAAGCAGCCTTTGTTGAAAACCAGCAGCTTGAAAAGGTGGAGTTCATGAATACCAACACAACATCTATTGAGCCTGGAGCTTTTGATGGTTTGTCAGACCTCAAGCATATCGAGATCTCCAGCACTCCATTAACGTCGATCCCAGTGGGAGTCTTTAAAGACCTCAGCAACCTGGAGAGGATTATACTAAAGTTGAACAAGCTTCGTAGTCTGGAGAAAGGCTTATTTGACGGTCTTGGAAAAGTAAGAGAGCTGCAGTTAAATTGGAACGAGATAGAATCGATTGAAAACGGGACTTTTGATAGTCTGGAGAACCTAACAATGCTCCATTTAGCTAAAAACAATCTCTCTGCTGTATCTGCCAACTGGTTCTCAAACCTAAACCAACTGCAGATTCTACGGCTTTACGAGAATCAGCTGACCACTATTCCTGAGGAGATTTTTCAGAATTTGCCAAATTTGAAGGAAATCGGCCTGCAAGGAAACAAAATAGCAGACTTGTCACCTAATCTTTTTCCACATAAAGACAAACTAATTAAACTGTTTTTGGATAGCAACCATTTGACTAGCTTACCTGAAGAATTCTTCGTCGGTTTCCCTCAACTTAAAACACTCACTCTACAGAAGAATAAACTGACAAGTCTACCACCTGTACTTTTTGGAGAAATGCCTAGATTGACAGATTTAAATCTCAATCAAAATAATCTCAGCGTTCTTCCAAATGGAATATTCAGCTCTCTGAAGAAACTCAAGAAGTTAGATCTGTCTAATAATACCTTGGTCACCTTGTATCCCGAGTACTTTGAAGGTCCTGAGAAGCTCACGGAGCTAAATCTACAGAACAACAGGATACAATCGCTGGATGCAGATGTGTTTGAAAAGCTACAATCAATGATCACACTCAAGCTAGCTCACAACGACCTCCAGACGCTTCCTGAGGATATTTTTGAGCCTTTAATAAAACTGAAAAGCCTTTACCTCAATGACAATCCGTGGCACTGTGACTGCAATCTGATAAATCTTTACCTATGGATGAAAGCCAACTCTGTGAAGATCATGTCTCCTGTTGTCTGTGAGTATCCAGATAATCTGAAAGGACAGGAAATCAAATTATTACCAGAGGATCAATTTATTTGCCCCACTCTTCCCCCAACAACAACCACAACAACTACCACGGCACTCCCAACCGCAGAACCAACAACCACCATCCTTACTACCACAACACCACTTCCTACAACATCAACCACAAGTACACGCCCCACAACCACCACTACCCTAACCACTACAACATCAACAACCACTTTGCCAACTACAACAACCACCCCCGTCTCCACCTCACAGCCAGCCACAACCACCATAACAATACTAACAGCTACTGTTCTGCCAACAACCACTACCACTATAATAAAAACTGCTCCCACAACCACTATCACAACTGCATCCACCACCACTTTGACAACAATTCCACCCACAACCTTCATAACAACTACACCCACAACCACTATGACCACAACTACACCTTCAACAACTACACCCACAACCATTATGACCACAACGACACC